CCCTTTCTGCATGCCAAAGATAAAACTAGACTCCATCTTTCACCATGCACTACACTAAAATTGAAATGGATCAAAGATATAAATATTAAAACAGAAACAAAAGAATAGGTAGAACACTGAAGACACTGGTGTAGGGAGAGACTTTATGATCAAAACCCTGATCACACAGGAAATATAACGAAGCACAACTGGGATATAGTCTTATTAAAAAGCTCTTGCACAGCAAGAGAAACTGTCAACAGAGCGAAGAGACAATCTATAGTGTGGGGAAAAAGTGTTGCCAGGTGGTCCTCAGGAAAAGGATTACTATCGAGAACATAGAACTGAAAAAAATCAGAACCCTACATGTAAAGACGCAATCCAAAATAGGCATCTGAAATGAACAGACATTCTCAGATGAAGAAGTAGAAACAGCAAATAAATATATGAAAAAATGTTCAACATCACCAGGCATTCAAGAGATTCAAGAGTTAAAATAACACTGAGATTTGAGCGCACCCCAGGAAGAATGACTATCATCAATAAGTCAAGCAATAACAAATGCTGGAGGGGCTGTATGGAAAAATGACCCCTTCTCCACCGTTGGTGGGAGTAGACACTAGTACAACCACTGTGGAAATCAGTGTGGAGATTCCTCAAACAACTAGGACTACAGGTTCCATCCGACCCAGCTACTCTTCTTCTTGGTATCTTCTCAAAAGAAATGAAAACATCATGCCACAGTGGTATATGCACACCCATGTCTGGAGTGGCACAGTCTGTAACAGCCCAAATGCCCACCAACCAATGAATGGACAAAGAAGGTGTGAGTTTTCTAAAAATACAATGAAGTACTGCCATAAAGAAAGGTAAGCTTGAGATATTTCTAGGTAAGTGGGTCCACATTAAGCCCATACTCTTAAGTGAAACAAATCAGGCACACACGTGTAAATACTATGTGGTTTCTCGGGGGTAAGAAACCGAAAGTGTAAATAAGACCCAAAATGTATTAACAGACATTGGGGAAATGAAAAAATGTTCAAATGAGAAGGGGAACAATGGGGGAGAGGAAGAAGGGACAAGAAAGGAAAATGGAAACAAGGATTTTGTAAATAAAGAGGGGAAGAGGGACTCACGGGCGGAGAGGGGAAATGGGAAAAAAATGAAGATACGCTGTGTACAGGCACAAATTCCTTACGATGAATGTTATCACTATGTACATCTAAAATGTACCAAACAAATGAGAGCATTACAGAGACCTGACAGTACTGTACTTGGGGGTTTCATAGCTGGTTCATGTGGTGTACACAGTCACACAAAGATGATTCCTGGCTGCCTCCCCCACCCCACTGCACACCAGCACCACACGAGCCTCTGCCCAGATGTGGCACCAGGCAACAAGTCCCAGCACTGAACACACAGAGAATGGCATCTGAAGGTACAGCTGAATTCTCACGGAAGGAAAACTGACCATTGTTTGGAGCAAGATCAAGCCTTCTGCCCCACAAACGCAAGACTGGCAACAAGTGTCATCTCTACTCACTACTCTTGTAGGGGAACCCAAACTACTAACCAAACTCCAATTACTATCCCAGCCTTAATGCTTTTCATGGTGGCTGGGGGGAGGCGGACGAATTATAAAGGGCAAACTTTTCACCAACGATGAAAGAAAAAGGGGCATTAAGGATTGCTATACTGTGGGGCACAGACCCTTCTGTATTATGGAAGGACTGAAGAGAGAAGACCCTCAAATCATACTCACGCTTCAAGCCTAGTTACAGAAGAGATCCTGGACTATTTGGTTTGCAGGACAGCACCACAGCGTACCCGCCTACCAGGTATGATCGAAAACTACAGTGAGTGTTTAAATTAAAAATGTATTATCGTGAAAGACCACCGCCACTGATCTCCCTGCAAACGCCTCTCCTTGCCTGGCACACACTGATCCCACCACTCTCCCCCTTTCGGAAGCAGTTCAGCAGGTCCTCTCCCGCGAGCGTCTGACTGTTCGGTCGTGCTGGCCTCCACGCACGGAATCACTTCAGATGTTCATCTTTCACAGGCTTTGGACTTCGGGGAAACCCAGAGGTTCCGCAGTGCCTCATCGGTGAATATGGTGGAAGGGACACAGCACAGCACTTTCACAAGCCTGTGTTTTTACTGCACGGCCCTCGGCAGCAGCATTCTCTGTACTTTTAAATCACATCTCATAGATACTCCCAGGAGGACTTGCAGAACGGCCTCCAAAAGTACCTAGAACAATGGCCTTACTGTGCTGGAAGAGAGGGGGAGCGCCCTGAGGGAAATGAATGGCAAGGTGCTTTTTACTGTGATACATTTTATTTTAAAAATTTAAACTTTCATTGTACATTTTGATCACCACTTATACTTCTATGACACTAACTGTGCCTGAAAAAAAAAGTAGATTATATTAATAAAAGGAAATAAGGCGGGAATGGGGCTGGGGGGTGGAAGGCTGTCTGAGAGAAGTGCGAAGCCAGAGGCCGCTTTTTCTCTTTACTGGGAACTGCAGTGGACGAAAGCATGGGACTGTACCTGGCGCGCAGCCCTAACGCCCCCAGAGACCGGGAGAACTCTATGGGAGGGACACCTGCTGCGAGCCTACCACAGAGCTGCCTGTGTGCAGAACTACTGCTTGAAACATTAATCTCACACCCAAAGGGTAAACTGCCCTCTGAAGAAACTTGGCCCATGCCTCGTCCCCTCAGATGTAAGAGCGATGGCATTTTCTCTTTGCCTTCCTTTCTGCCCTGGGAAAGCTGAGGACACCAAGGGCCGTTCTCTTCCTCACAGTACCGAGATGCGGTACACTTCACTAGTCCGTCTCAGCCCACCTGCTTTATTCAGCATTTCACAATGTTAAGGACCATCTGTTCGAGATTCACCAACTGAGAACACCATGAAACCTCATTCAGCCCAAGACATTAAAACTTAATGAACTGAAAGTTCTTGATTTCTGCACTTTGATCCCTCTGAGATCATTCACTGCTCTAAATGTTGTTATGACTCTTGTGATTAAAGCCACTGTAAAGATACCTGTAAATATCACAATCTCCGTGTCAGGAAGACTTTGCTCGGTTGCTTTTCATCCTGGCTAAGCAAGTGGTCAATAATCAGTGAGTATCTACTTCACGTGGACTGACTTGAAGTGTTAAATCATATGTAATCAGAGGTAACTAAGGGGCAAATCCTTCAAAAGAACTAAACTATGCATAAACAGGAAAGTGACAGGTGGAATTAGACAAGAATTAAATAGAAGCAGATTTGGGTCTGATCATTAATTTCCTATTTTATAGCATCTTTCATCCAAAATTTGATGAATCTTTTCCACTGTTTTTGACCAACCTACGTCCTAATTCCCTCAACGGGGTACAAGTCCGTCCTGAGTGTGAGACACAGGCCTGCAGCCTCCAGGCCCGTCTCGGTGGTCGGGTACACGGTGTCTACAGGGCAAGGCTGAAATTCCTGAGGCTGGAAGTCTAGGTCGCCCAGGTCTTGACCCAACCCTGTCCCTGTCCAGACTTTGTACACTTGCCTGGACCAACTGGCCTGACCAGCCGACCTTGCTCTGGCTGGGCAGTGTGGCAGAGACATGACCAGGTCTCTGCCACACTGTGCCCTGTTGCCGTCTTTCCCTCCTTCCCTGCCACCATCTATTGAGTGCCCGTGACTGCTAGCAGCATGACAGATGCTTGCTAGTTTGCCACTCTTCTGCAATTTGCTTAGTGTATCAAAGAAACTAAGGAGCCGGATGAGGGGGCAACACAGAAGCGGATGAGCCCGTCTGAGCCCGGGTGGGGCAGGGGGCGCTGCAGTCCGTGTTCGGTCCAGAGCCTAGGCTTCCTGGATCATGCTTCCTAGCTCTTCCTCGCCAATCTTTAGGGTTCCTTGAATTTCTGGCTTAACTTAAACCTTTACCGTATGAAATCAAGTCTGATCACTCCCAGCCTAATAATCACTTCTATTTAGAGCCCTTGTGGCTCAATCCTTTACTGCCTCATATTAATTATTTTTATTTTTTGGCAGCCTCAGAGGCTCACATTGTCTCCTGAACACAGCAGGCCCCTAATTGTCTTTGCAAGCGACTCATTTTGCTGCTTTGGTATTATTTCCTATGGGCACAATGCCAGATAGGTAGAGTAATTTCAGGAATGGAACAAAAGAAGAATCAATAGGGAAAGCATTTACGATCTTGCAAATGAAGATCAGAGGACAGGGCTAATTTGGAGGCTGAAAAACATTAGGGAGCTAAACACTTTCCAATTTTCTCACTTCACTGATTTTTGGGACATTTGCTTGTGTCTCAGGGAGGCAAAAGAACTACTAGAGTTCTAGGATCCATGGTGGATAATCCCAAATCTGCAGACGAGTATGCATCTCTCTTCTCTTCTGTTGTATCAGGGAGGAAAACCTCCAGAAGCCTCTTGGCAGATTTGCCCTCAGGTCCTTTTGGGCCGCAGAGTCACAGGCCCAGCCCTGCTGCAGGACAGCACGAAAGCAGAACACTTAAGGGTTTCAGCCTCTGCTGTCAGAACAGGCCCGGGTACAAGGCAGAAAGCAAAGGGAGGGGCTGGGGAGATGGCTCAGTGGAATAAACGCAAGGGCAAGCACAAGGGCCTGAGTTCAATCCCAAAACAAACAAACAAGCAAAAGCAAAGGGAAATGGTGCACTGCTGGGAAACTCACTGTTTGCAAACACCCAAACCCTTCGTGTCCAACAGATGCATATGGTGAGACAGGTCTGCCGGTGAGGTGTGGGCAGAGAGCCCAGGTGCCACCGGGAGCCTGCCCCACAGGTACAAGACAAGAGCACTTCAGCCATTAAGTCGCAAATACATCCCCCTTCCTTGGATTTTTTTTTTTTTTAAACACTACTATCTCCTTTTCTTCCATCACAACGAAAGAAAGGCAAGGAAGAAAAAATCTATCTTTTTAAAACTTTCATATAGTTCTCAAAACATCCTAAAACTGGCAAAACATATGTCATCAAGAGACTTATGGAACAGAACAGGAGACCCACGTTTTTACAGGCCTTCTGCCTCTTTCTTCAGTTTTCTTTGCTGCTTCTACAATGAGAGTCTGTTTCCACAGTGCTGTCACTACCAGAGGCATCCATCAGTAATGAATCGCTTCACACAATTCTAGCTCCCTGGAGAATGGTGCAGCCTCTGTAATGGAAGTGGGTATGAGCAGGCCACCACGGCACGCTGTCCAAGCCACACTTACAACACGCAGAGCTTGTGCACAGAACACACTCACTTGTGCTTTGAAGAAGGGGCTATTCTAGATGTATGCAAGTGTACTCTATACAGAAATTTCTAGAAGGATAGCTAAGCATTGTGGATGGTAGTTACCATGTGTGTGAGGGGGTATGGGGCTTGTGCATGCTAGGCAAGAACTCCACCCCAATGCTACCCCCCCAGCTCCAAACTGCCCAGGTTGGTTTGAGCTTGCCATCCCCCTGCCTCAACGCCCTGAATAGCTCAGATTACAGGTACATGCCACCATATCCCACCAAGAAAAATTTTTATTTCATGTTCTTTTTGACAGAGCTTATTTTTTTATTTAGCTGATTTTCATATTTTTGACAAATATAAGCCTTCATCCTCAAATTGAGACTCAGCCCAAATACCTACAAAATTCCACTAGTGCATTCTGATGTTTATTTGACTCCTCTAAGGGGCTATGATGTTACCAACAAAATCAAAATAACTGGCCTTCAGGATAGCAGGAACATTTACAACTACAAATGAACTAAATGATGTAGTTACAGGAATACTTTTAGAAGAGTAACTTGCTCCTGCAAAGAGCCATCCAACTCAATTTTCCAAGGAATGAAGACCACATCTTAAAAGGTATTCCCAAAAACATTTTAGAGAACCAATCTGGGATTTTCATATCATAAATACAAGCTTTCAAGTCAAAACGAATCCATGAAAAACATGGTACGTTAATATTAGATCTCTTACATAGTTCTTCACAAAATACCAACCTCTCAAAGTACCAGTACAACTGTAACGTTTCTACTGAGCGCGACAGTTCCCAGTGTGCACAGCTCTGACTCTGTGCTGTGTGGGCACAGACTTTCCCACACAGACTCTTCCCTCTGTGGGTGACACCACAGCACTACCCCAGGGCAGGCCAGGACAGAGGCAGGCACACACGTGCACACAGGCTGCATAAGAACACTTCCTGATGATGGGCTGTGTGCAACAGGGGTCCCCTAAGATTCTGATGGAGCTGAGAGGTCCCTGTCACCATGCCGTCACCCGTCCCTGGCATCAGAGCACAGCGAATGCCTCACACTGGTGAGCGCACCTGCTGTACCCACATCTGCTCTACACCCGCAGCTGTGTCGCCTATCAAGAGCAGCACCTGGGAGCGGGGCGTAACACTTGACAATAGGACAAGGCTACCGTTTCATGCGTTCACTGTACTTGTCCACATTTTAACATGCATTTGTACCAAAAAAAAAGAAGCTAACTGTAAAACAGACCCAGGCATGGCATTCACATTCGGGAGGCGCCCTTAACATAGGAGGGGACAGTTCCCTGCGTATTACTGGCGCCTCTGACCTCCAAGGGAACAAGATGTGGCAGTGGGAGACACGGGCCTCGACAGTCCTGACCTGTGCGGGACTAGGCTCCTAGGCGTGTCTGTGTCCCGTCTGACAAATGATGTCTGAAAACTAAAATAAAAAAATTCTTATAGCATAAGGATACAAAGAAAATATTTCTGTACAGTGACACAATATGTCTGTCTTTTAAATGAAGTGCATAAAGTGTTATGCCAAAAACTAAAAGTTATAAAAATTTGAAATTTTTATAAGGTAAAAAAAGTAGCACTAGTTGGGCGTGGTGGCGCACACTTGACATCCCAGTACTTAGGAGGCTGAGGCAGAATGGTCACTGCAAATTTGAGGCCAGCCTGTACCACACAGTGAGATGCTGCCTCAAACCCAGCCCCCACGTGACAGCAGGAATTTTAAATCACTGTTGTGTGGCCGAAATGCAGCGTCTACACAGCCTGCAGCTCTGGGCAGGTCCTCAGGTGTATCATTCTGTGCCGTATTTTCACTGTACCTTTTCCGTGTGACCATCTGTTAGATATACAACCACTGCAGCCTCACACCCGCCCATGGGGTTAGTGTGCCATCCCTCCCAGGATACAGCCGGAGCAACAGGCCGCACCTACAGCCCAGGTTCGAGGCAGCTCTGGCCGGGTGTGCGTAAGCTCACAGCCCGCTGCTCACACAGCGCAACGACCGCCTCGTGAAGCACTGCCAGGCTCCAGGACAGGTCCCTGCGGTCACTGAAGGCCCACGATGGTCAGGAGTTCACCGCATGACTGTTTACAGGCAGCTCCTGCGACCTGAGGGCTGGCCCGTTTTATTGATCTCTAGATGTCAGTGTTTGGTTTTACCTTTCAAAGACAATTTCTATCACAATAACTAAAGAAGCAATAAAGCCATGTGCTTAAGGTTGAAATTAGTTTCTCAGAAGCCAAAACAGAACAGGATTACTTTCATTAAGAAAAAAAATTTTGCTGGCTCTAGGCTTTATTTTAAATGAAACAATACTAAAAACAGTTGATAAGATATATCTGATATGTTTACATTGAATTATTTTTTATTAAAAATAATTTAGCACACCATTTTATTAAAAATAAAATAGCACACCAAGCTATTTCAGTCCCGCACCTAGGGTGTGCTGAGACGGGGATTGAGACTGGCGGTGGTGGCACGTGCCTGTAATCCCAGCACTTGGGAGGCTGAAAACAGAAGGATCACTACGAGTCTGATCTACATAGTGAGACCCTGTATCCCCTGTACTAAATACGTATAAATGAATAGTTTAGCGTTTGAATATCCACAGGCCCTAGAGACCCAGAACTACTATGCCTAAGTTAGAAAAGCACATTAGAAATATTCACAGAATCATTGTTCACAAGAAAACAACAAAATAACCCATCACCTAAAGGCCTATGCCCAAAAGGACAGAGGTAAGCACACACATACACACACACACACTCACATACATACATGTGTGTACAGTGGAGTCACATGAACCAGCGCTGCAGGAAGCTAAATGTACAAGCGTAGAAAGTTAAAGAAGGCGGTGTTCACAGTAACTTCCACCTTGCTCAGGCGTAAACTTAGAGTCGCACAGGCGGTACCATGCTGGAGAAAAGGGAAGGCAGTGGTAAACATAATCCTAAGACACAGAGGGGTACAGGAGAGGGCATGTGATGGGGTCACCCGCCCAGGGCCGGGGCCACTGGGCCAAGTCCAGCACCTTACACTCGGCCGGGCATGCCCAGGGGTGTTTCTGCTCACTGTCACCCCCCC